ACTGTAGTGGTTCGTCTACATCGTCGGCCCCCTTGAGCATCGATATGGCGGTTCAGTCACGCTTGGAGGGACTCCCAGCGGACCGTAGGTCATGCCACAGCTGTAAGCGCGAGAACTAGTAAACGCAAACGGTATTAGACGTCGAAACGGGCGTCATTAAGACAGTTCCTTTTCATTGTTTTTCAATGTGTGCATGTTTTTGTTGTTGTTTTGTTTTGTGATTTTTATGGTAATGAAGTGGGAGTTTTGTTTGGTACCATCAGCCTCTTTCGTTCATTTCTCAACGCTCGACGAGCGAACCAGGCATCAGCATATGCGCGTGACAAGACAGTAACCTTGTGACAAAAACCATATAGCTCAAAGAGCGAAAGATTAGTAAGGGGAAAAAACTGAAAAAATAAAGCACAGAAAAAGGAAAAGAAAGTGTATAAGAAAATGAAACGAAAAAGTAAAGCTAATATAATTACTTGTGCGCACCAAAACCTTTGATGAACCTATGTTTCTTCTCGGACAGAGACACGGAGAGCTTGTTAATGCATGACACCTGCTCACGTGCCATCTGCGCGTCCTCGACGGTGACTAGGGTGTGCTCATCCTTGTGCTTGTATAGCGTCACTGTGTCCTTGAAAAGTGACACACAGTTGCACTTAGTGCAGTGCTGAGCAAGAAAGCCATCTTTTCAATTTTTAACTTTGTTAGCGTGTTCTCTCAGTCGATCGTTCAGACACCTTCCGGTTGTTCCGACATAACAAGCACTTAGAAGTGTGGCAGCTTGGGCTAGTTGGTATGGCATCACAATAGTAAGAGCGCGAGAACAAAACGATGACACAGAGACAAGAAGAACGCTCCTGTCATTCGTGTCCTTTTTGTATCTAAGTCATTATTCTCTTCTCGCGCTATAACTATCGTCATACCAAGCACCGCATGAAAGGGGGGTCTAATAGTTAACTTCCCGGGTGCATGCCGCATACCTTTTTCTATGCAGAACTCTGCATTCCGTTGATGACTGCGTTTTCAGGGGGTTTGTAGATTTGGTGAGGCTGATTAATTTGAACGGTGCAGAGAACAGGACACGAACTCCAACTCGTTTTCTGATTTTCTTGACCCTGTGGGATATCTCGTGTTTGTACGGAATCTTGGCTATACTTTGACGCTCTGTATCCGTGTTGCTCGGATTCTGTCACTGCTTCTGCTCTGCAGCGTTTCTCTGCCTTTTTCTGTGCTTTTGTTTTTTGTTTTTTTTCCTTACTCATGTTTTGCTCTTTGTGCAATATGGTTTTTGTCACATGGTTACTGTTTGCTCTATATATTTTCGCGCCCTGCGCAATAAACTCAGTTCGAAGTTAGCGCTCGTGTCCTTCATGTCCTACTAGTCTCTGTTTCGTCGTTTTGTTCTCGCTCTATAACTATCGTCATGCCATACCAGCTAGCCCCAGCTGCCACACTTCTAAGTTACGCCAAAGGGGAGTTAATCATGCCTACGATCTGCGACTCGTAAGAGCAACAGCACTCGCCAGAAACTACTTTGTCTACATTCATCATTGTTAATGACCACCATAAAATCTTCAGAGGAAACATTGAAGACGTAGAGCTGCATTTTTCGAGAGAGCACAACCGGAATAGGTGAACAGTTCAGTGCCCACAACAAGGTTGCTCCTTCATCAAGCGATACCAGACAAGAAAGGACAAGTACGTCTTTCTTAGCACATTCCAACGATGGCAGGCTCAACGACGGCGTCCACATGTGTGGCAGACACTGGTGCGAATACCTGAACTAACCTTATTGACCACGGTGGCAGTGTCAGTTCATCGGAAATAATGAGAGGGTCCTCGTGGCCCGCTGCGGCTCATCGACGAGGGCAGGAACAATGTCACCACTGCTTGACAGTTCACCAGTTTCACAGTCGACGAAAAGGCCACACCCTTGGAGAAAGTCAGCACCCAAAATATAATTGTGGCTTACATCGTTCCTACACAAGAAACTCTGTTAGGAACAGCGTGCCTGCCGATAACACATTGACGGCAAAACTTCTGACAGGATAAAATACTTCCCCACCAACGTCACGAAATTTTGTTGATTCACCCCAAGACAACATAACTTTGCGGCCAATGCAATTTTAGAAAGAAAGACTCATAACAGATATCGCGACACCAGTGTCCACTAAAGCGCATGTACAAAAGCCATCTCTTAACACACGTATCTTGTTTTTGTACATTATAACTGGTGGAGGCATCTGAAGCAAATCCTGTTGTGCGACCTAGCCTGCATCGGCCGCGCTGGCTAGTTTTCCGGCGGCGGCGTTGACGACAGCCGTAGTCCCGGTAAAGGCGAGCAATGAAGTCGGCCAGACAGAGGCGTCAAACTACGGTCGGAAGCGGGAGAACTGCCACGGTGATTCTCTCGCCCTGAGGTGCTCCTAAAATAGGTAGGTCAATGACCGTTGTTGTAATTAGTGCCCGCTGGAGGAAACACTCATGGGAAATTGTATTGGGATGTCGGCTTTCTCTGTCGACGACAGAACTGAGCTATATGTCCGGTGATACCACAGTCGTAGCGCACAGGGGCTTGGAGGTATGCACCGTACTCCTGTAATACGTTGCGCTAACATGGTGTTGGCACAGATACATCTTCGCTCGAGTAGTTATACGTGTTGGCTCAATAGCGCGAGTAACTGAGACGCTCTTCGTACCTTGGCAGTGGGTAGCTATTGCACTTTGGCCTCGGTAGTGAGGGTGGCCTGTAGTTGTAGTCAACGACGTCTGGCTGTGGCATAGACATGAGATAGCGAACGGGAGGCGGCATGGGTGCACCTTCGTACGGCGTCGGGTAAGCGTGTCTAGTTAGCTCTCCTCGAACGATCTCCCATATTTTCGACGTGAGATCGAGAGGCGTGCATTCGCTACCACTCGTCCATGGTAGTTACATTCAGTTGGTGATCTAGCTTCGGAGTGATACATTGCATCTTCAAGGTCTCGAATGTGCGACCGTGGCTTATGACGCCGGTTACCGTGCCAAGGCTCTTTTTGCTGATGAGGAACTGATATACGCCCTCAGCAACGCCCTTCAACAGGTGACCAACTTTCTCCTCCTAGGACATAGAAGAGCTGACGATCTTACAGAATTTCCGAATTGCCTCGATATTGGTTGTGCACGTTGCTCCGGAGATCTGAAGCTCTCTATAGTAACGTTTGTTTCGCTAGCTTCCTTTTAACTAAGGATTCTTTGATGCACGCCGTTAATTCGGAAACGAAGCGATGTCATGACGTGAGGGCATATGTTTGGTTATAGTACCATATGAGCACGGTGTCTGTCAAGACGAATACTACATTATTCAGCTGGGCCGCCGCATCCCACTGGCAGTATTTGCTCACGCCTTCATAGTGTGTGAGCCAGGCATCCACATCCTTGCCAGATTTGCCACCGAATGTGCGAGCCACTATCAGATCCTGATGCAACCACGAGCCAGCCACGCGCAAACCTGGTATTAGCTGTGCTGCTGGGACTGGCGGAAGGTCTGCAGCTGCTGGGTTCCGGTTTCCTTCTTCACCCTGAGATACCTCAGCTACCCGTGGTAACAGGCGCAGCCCAGCAAAGCGGCCGCTTTGTCGTAGATCGGGAAGAATCGTGTTGCTTCGTTGATTACCCAGCTCCTCCACGGCAAAACTGTATATATATATATATATATATATATATATATATATATATATATATATATATATAGGGAAAGAAGTGTATACCTAAGGGCTCGTTTTTCCGTGTTTTTACACAATAATAATGAGATATAACAGACAGTAATGCCAAGGAATGTACAGGGGAAGTTATTAACATTAATGGAATGTAAATAAGAAGAAAGAAAAGTGGATGAAAAAATTACCAACTGTAAGCAGGAATCGAACCTACGACCTTCGAATTACGCGTTCGATGCTCTAACCACTGAGCTATTACAGCGGCACTCCCTCCATCCACTTTTTTGGGTTTATCTGTGAATTTAGAAGTAGGAGCGACAGTCAGCGCCATCTATAAGCCAAACAACGAGTGTGAAAACACTCTTATGCGCATGTTTGGCGTCACGTAGCACGTGAACTTATTATGAGCGGGCAGCTGATTAATTGTCCCTCTTATACAACCTAAACACACCAAGTCTGCCAGTACGAGACCCTCGTTCAATGAAATAAGGGAAAGAAGTGTATACCTAAGGGCTCGTTTTTTTCCGTGTTTTTAACACAATAAGAATGTACAGGGGAAGTTATTAACATTAATGGAATGTAAATAAGAAGAAAGAAAAGTGGATGAAAAAATTACCAACTGTAAGCAGGAATCGAACCTACGACCTTCGAATTACGCGTTCGATGCTCTAACCACTGAGCTATTACAGCGGCACTCCCTCCATCCACTTTTTTGGGTTTATCTGTGAATTTAGAAGTAGGAGCGACAGTCAGCGCCATCTATAAGCCAAACAACGAGTGTGAAAACACTCTTATGCGCATGTTTGGCGTCACGTAGCACGTGAACTTATTATGAGCGGGCAGCTGATTAATTGTCCCTCTTATACAACCTAAACACACCAAGTCTGCCAGTACGAGACCCTCGTTCAATGAAATAAGGGAAAGAAGTGTATACCTAAGGGCTCGTTTTTCCGTGTTTTTACACAATAATAATGAGATATAACAGACAGTAATGCCAGGAATGTACAGGGGAAGTTATTAACATTAATGGAATGTAAATAAGAAGAAAGAAAAGTGGATGAAAAAATTACCAACTGTAAGCACGAATCGAACCTACGACCTTCGAATTACGCGTTCGATGCTCTATCCACTGAGCTATTACAGCGGCACTCCCTCCATCCACTTTTTTGGGTTTATCTGTGAATTTAGAAGTAGGAGCGACAGTCAGCGCCATATATATATATATATATATATATATATATATATATAGAGGTAGCCTAAGTGCTTGTCGTACAGAAATGCAGTTATTTACACTTGAATAAAACTGAGCTTACTTGCGACGTGCTCCTTAAGGCTGGCTGCCAGCTCTGGCGACGCCACTCTCGGATCTCGCAGAACGACGAACGCCGCCGGGGCGTCACCGTACTTCGTAATCGGGACACCCACCACAGATGCATCAGCCACGCTAGGGTGGCTCTGCAGAAGGCATTCAAGCTCCATCGACGACACCTGCTTGTCAAAGCACCTAATAATGTCCTTCACTCTGTCCACGAAGTAGACGCGACCGTCTTCATCGTAGTACATAATGTCGCCTGGATGGGAAAATATGAAAGGGAGGATGATATGCTTGTTTATTATGTGACTGGACACTATAAAGGGAGCAATTACTTGATCTTAGTGAAACACAACTTTAGAATACCTAAACACTGCGAGAAGTTGCTTGCTAAGTACGAAATCGCGCGAAAAGTAATTCTGCCTTGTGATGCCACTTGGAAATGACCGAGCGAAACACCATGACATCATAGACTTTGACGGCGTTTTAGAAATTATACATAGTTCCTAATAGTATGTTGTACTCTGAGGTACAAATAGACTGCAAAATTTTGCAGAACGATTGTCGGCAATATACAAGAAAATATGATTCATATTAGTGACGTAAGAGCAAAAGTACCGGCCGTAAGTTTACTGAAAAAAAAACCTGCACGTCATTTTTTCGTTAGCAATGAACGTACAACGTCCAAATTAACGAGAATCGAGTTAACAAAGTATACGTTATTTCGCCTGCCAACTACCAAAGCTCGCCGATACTGTTGTGAGATATGCAATACTTTCCAATTCGCAAAATACAAATACATTCGCACGACGCAGGTGTTCAACTTACGAAGGATTAGGCTCTCAGTGAAGATATATTTGGCAGAAGCGCGACAGCCTGTGAGTTGGAATTTGCATTCTTCATCGCATAACATATATTTTTAGAAGCTATTTCAAAACAACATGCGCGGTGTTCCGCATAGACCACAACCTTCTGTCTGTTTTGGAGCTTGTAATGTTTTGTAGAACCAACGAGTAAATAGCCGTACCCGATTTGCACCATCCATCATCATCCATGAACTCCTTAACCAGCTCTGGATTTTTGTAGTAACCCTTCATGACGCTTGGGATGCGAAAATACAGCTCGCCGTTCCGCCTTGGTCCAACCTTCTCACCCGTATTTAGGTCAATGAACTGCACAAGAAAATGAGTACGGAATATAATTCAGGCCAGATTTTAAGTGCATGCATGGGATGCAGCACAGTCACGAGCCAAGACTTGTGAAATATCTGCCGAAGATAAAGCTGACTCTTTCCTAAGGCTTACTGTAAACACGTGAACAAAGTATAAGTGCACTGCACATAGCATGGACCTTGTCATCTCATACTGGAGACAACAAAATTAGTATGCGGGCCTACCAGCAAACGCTTCAGGGAAGGACAACTTACTTTTGTATACTCTGATGCAATGAGTCACATCTCCCGGATAACACAAAAAAGGCACATACGCACTTATCTTACTTTGTTTAAATAAAAAAACCCCAGGCGTGCGCGGAAAACGCGGCGCAATCAAGGGGGCGGAAACTCCCTATACCTCTCATGTATTCCCTCTCGGCATTGCCGCTTTTATCATTGGCGGTTGCCTGGACATCCAACTAGAAATAAATCATGAATAGACAATTACTTTCATGACGCCACTTGCAGGGTCCCCAATTAAAATGAAAGGACAAAAATTGAGAGGAGGAGGTTTGCCGCAGAAGCCCTTCTTTCCCACATTGCATGCAAGCGGTATGCGCTCGTGCCTTCTTCACGTCCACTGGCTGCTTGAATAATACGGCAATAAAATTTTGTTAATGTTTTTTTTATTTTTTTGTGTTTTCCAAAAACATGAAGATTAGGTTCACTGTTTTTTTTTTTTGGTAAGATGAAACTCGGCTGACACAAATGAAATGCACTTTCTATTGCATGTTCTGTACAGGAAAAAAAAAACAGATACCTACACGTAGCGTGAAAGAGTCAATCTACAAACATCGCTTCAATTTGCAACTGACTTATGAACCTAATGAGCAAAGTTTAGCCCAGAATAGCCCAACCGATGCGAAAATTATCAGCAGTCGCGATTAGGGCACGTCGTATTTAGCACGATAACGTTTTTTATGATGGCGCAAACATTAAAAAAATGAGTTCTAAACGAGCCTGAATTTCAGAGGCACCGAGAGGCTTGAAGTGAAAAGAAGTCTTTCAATAAAAATTGTCAAAGGAAACAGTGCTTGAAAAAGTTTATACGTCATTGACATGGCAACAGCGTTGCCTTGATGCAGGAAAGGTTTCTTGTCAAAACGTTGGCTCCATTGACATTGTCTGTGCTGTTATTTTGAAGCCTTTAGTCCATGACATGAATTTGAGTCACCCTATTAGACGTAATGACTGACAAATTTTAAAACCACGGCTACAAGAATTTGACGAGCAGGAAACAGCCTATAATTACTTGGCAGGATAGGAACTACCCGGTAAATGTGAGAAACAAATACTAAAACTGTGTAGCAGAGCTGAATCGAAATAATTCTTTTGATATACACATTCTCCCGACAGGAGCTTGGCTTCTGTATTCCCAAATTAGTCAAGCGACGCTGCATTTCTGCAAGTCTACTCAGGCTTGCTCTCTGGATTTACTCATTTGTACTCATGCAATATTATTACCTGCTCTATTAAATGGTCCTAGTCCTTGTGCAAAAGGATCAAAATGTGGGCCAGTTGGTAATTCATTTTCTTCGTTCAGCGAACTGGGAGCGCAGAGAAAAACACAAAGGACGAAGCGAGGAACCACACAACACGAGCGCTCGTGTTGTGTGGTTCCTCGCTTCGTCCTTTGTGTTTTTCTCTGCGCTCCCAGTTCCCTAGTCCTTGTGCTCACCCGTTTCGTTTAGGAAACGATGGAAAACCTTTGCGGAACTTGAAATCCCGGGGTAGCACACCGCAGAGCCGCGAAAATAAGTGTTGCCCGAATAAACCATTTTTGATGAATGCAAGGTGGACTTGTTCAATGTAGCTGACTGCTGCTTCCGTCCTTTTCCCGCCAAAACTTTCTGTTTATATCTTTCCGGTATTTGAGACGCCAAGCAAGCGAGAGATAACTGAGTGTGATCCGACTTCTAATGTCGCTGAGTGAGGGCTGAGAAGGAGCGGAGGCAACTGCTACGAACGCAAGTCTAACTTCCCGCGCTTCCCTTGATTGAAAAGTCATGAAAATAATAAAAGACATATAAACAAAATAGAAGTTATTTATTGGGATATCGATTTTTTTTATTGGTAAAAACTGACAACCACGCCGAGCCGCCAGAGTCAACAAGGTCTGTTTTCCGAGAAGAAGCTGCTCAAGTGCGCAGAGTTCGACCCCGTTCCGGAGTGGGTTCCCCTACTGGACGCTTTTGTGTTGTGTTGTGTACGTAGTATTCTATTACTAGTGTAGATTACATGCGCTAAAGACAAAAAATCATCGGCGTAGCTCAGTGGTAAAATAGTTTGCTAGAACGCATCAAACCTGGTTTCAATTCCAAATATGTCCTTGGTAATTTTTCCTCTACGTATTTTTCCTCGCTTTTTGCAAAAGTGCTCACGAACACCGGCGGCTGCGGTGGACAACTACGGCGCACGCGACCTTTGTTGGGATCTCATAACAGCTTTCGCAGCGAAACACATCCTCATTTGTTAGACAACACACAGGCGTTAACTAAGGTGTCATCCATAGAGCTTATTGATGATATAAATTTTATTCTTTTCTCTTTTTATAGGCACCTGTAATGTCTACCTGAAACACATCGCGTTCACCAGGTTGCGCTAAATCTCCATACCACTCTTTCCCATTGGTCGAAGAAAGTAAATACTTCCTGCTACGCAGATTTCCGGGAATTGGAGTGTAGTGGTCCCGTATCTACTGCTGCAATCATTCGCACTTGAGTACCAATACTATGAAGTACACCTATCGCATACTCTGGTGCCGTTTTCACGAAGGTGTGCTTGAATTCATGCACAACGTACACCTTTTCACATCGATAAGTGGCCCCTCTAGCCAACGCTTGAGGGCTTAACAAGAGCACGAACACAAATTCCCAAAACTTACGGGTGATTTATATGCTAATAATGTGATAGTCTAGGCAAGAGTGCAGCCTTTACCTAAATAACGAGAACGAAAAAGTTGATGATATGTTGCGAGCTTATAGAGACGTTGCCCTTTTCTGTCATTCTGAGGATAATTGAACGAGTAAAGCTGTACTCTTGATTTTGCTCTACATGTTCCCGCCTTAATTTATGCATCGCGCCTCTCACCTTCATTCAAAAGTTCAGTCTTGCTATCAAGTATTCGCTGCGAATTCTTCAAGTGAAAGCGTACAGTATATGAACATGTTAGATGCGTTAAGACTTCCCGCTGTGGTTCTTACCTTAAGCTCAACCATCGGTGCCGGAAAGCCAACATTTCCGGAAGATATTTCATCCTTTGGAGGTGAGCACAGGACACCGCAGGACTCGGACATGCCGTAATGGTTTCGCAGAGAGCGGACGCCATCGAATGCAGCCAGTATCCTTCTTGCAAACGTTTCGGTTAACACAGTGCCGCCAACGTTGATCGTCCTTATAGAGGGAAGCTTTGTTCCACTCCGCATTATGTCCGCTAAGTAAACGTACAGCCGGGCCGGCGCTGAAGCTAACGTTGTCACCTGGAAGCAATTATTTGAAACTTTTTGGGGCTGACTATTCTGAACAGAATATTTCGAGGGCGCCCCTATTAGGAACACAGCAGCATATCAAATAACTTCACACTTTCATTCACTCTGAAGGAATGGCTTTTGCTACATAGAGCTGATGTTTTGAAAGTAAAAAGAAACATCTACATGGGTAAGGAAACGGTCGCTGCGTGACTAGCCTAATGTATTTGATATTTGTACAGTTTTTAGTGTAGAGTAATGCTATGAGGAGATCCTTTGGCTAGATCTGTCATATAGTTCTAGCAGCCTATGAAAAAAAAAAATAAGGAAACTGACTGACTGGCGTGCACCATATTTATTTTCATCCGGCAGTTTGGTATCGCTCTGTTGTTTTAGTAGAAGCTATATTCATTTTTTTGTGCAGCATCTTTGCACTTGCAACACGTTTAGCCTCATGATGAGGATCACGTTGGAAAATATATCTGGCATTAGGTGCTCTGCTTTCTAACGTATATGGTTACGACTGCGTGTTACACACTTCGAATGAGGCACTGCCAATCTAACAGCGCGGTGCGGCAGACTTGGAAGCTTCCACTTCACACTTTTGCCGGCGACACCTCAAAGGCCTCCACGTGGTACAATTCAATTTTTTGTAGGCTGGCCAACCCATGCGGGGTTGCACGTGTAGGATTCTATGAACCTGACAGACGTACTCATAGAGCTAGCACAGCCATTTCCTCAAAAACAAACAAGCTTTATTTGAAACAACTGCAACTGGCAGGAGCTAACTAAAATAAACTAAGGAGATAAACAAAAATGTACGTAATAAAAAGAACTACAAAAAAACATATGCTCCATAATTAGGCTACTTGTAAAAATATATGCAACGCGGCACGATGATAAATTACCTAAGAACCACAAGGAAAACATACATACACCCCGCCTTTGCTAACTTCGCATTAGATCTGATAGCATAAAACAGTAATAATGAATGTAAAACTAAAATCACAACTCAATAGAAAATGGCAGTTATGAGCAATGAACACCACTTTGTCACTCATTTATATGCGTGAGTGATCAATGTCACGGGTGACTGAAGGTGACACCCAACAATCCAACTGCTTCGCCCGATGATTATCATTCACTGAGTAAATATGCCAAGATTGTTTTCTTTATTTGTTTGTTCTTGTTTTTGTCCATTTGTGTTGCTTTTTTTTTCTTTCTACTTTTTCTGTCACTCATCAACGTTATTATGAACCACACACGCTGTAGCAGTGAGTAGTTCTACTAGTCCGAATTTTTTTACTCGTAATCATTCATGATGATGATAGTTTCGCCATATGGTCGACATTTTACGCTTGATTTAAACAGCTGCGCCCTAAAAGCAATATTATAAACCTGTCATGGCTTTCGCCACTTCGATTGCGAAACGAAGGCACTGACTTCTTACGTAATTAGATCGTGCATGGCCGTAAAGTGTTCCCATTGAGGTCAGCCTTGCCCTCCGTGATCGGTTTCAGATGTAACTGTTCATTATGTGCAGTCGCCAACTGCCACCCACCACCACTTCTTCAGAAAGTGTCATCGCTCAAAGCCAGCCCTACTACGGCACTCCTATGGGGTCTCCTATAGTAACAGTTCAACAACTGCTAGACTACTTGTATGCATCTAGACAGGCCTCTTTGTTCTGGTAAGTTCTGGCGAATGTACTTACTTTGTACTTGTTTACATAATACACGAATTGGTCGAACGTCAGCCCAGGCTGTACTATGACGCAAGTGGCTCCAGCGCACGCAGCTACGGGGATGAACGTAAAACCAGATGCATAGGTTATAGGATACCAAGCCAAGAGGACATCTCCAGGCTGGTAGCTGACCAGGACCCTGAAATGGCAGTTGAAAATCGGGGACCGTCATCACTAGTGTGAAGTGCTATAATTGCTCATTCTGTCGTATGAGTTTAACGGAAATCCTTACACGCCTCCCCAGTCGAAGAGACCAGGGTCTGGTGTGAACATCAGAGGAACCGCGAGAATTAGGCTGTACGATGCTGCTAAAGTCGATGTTTATATGTAGTCACGGCTTAACAAATCTGTACACTTTTGTGGCGTCACAATGACGTCATGATCGCCGTCATGTCGACCCTTTTTCAGTGTTTATGGCAACGTACCATAAACACTGATACAGCTGAAGGAGCAGATAATAGACACAAGGACTGTTGACACCAAAGTAATTGTGGGTCTAGACGTCTCCAGAGCGTTTGACAATGTCGAACGTACAGCTTTACTCGAAAACCTAAGCGTGCTAAACGTAGCCGTCAAGACATACAACTGTGAAATATATTTTTTCTCATATCGCACCATCACCCAAACAGTACACAAGCTCAGAACTAAGACTGAGAATGCCATACAACTCGTACGTACAGTAGCCAACAGGCACCATGGCCTCAAAGAAGACAACCTGCTGCGTCTAGTACACGCGTTTGTTTTGTGCCATTTTACCTACGTTGCCGCTATACCAAAATGGCAACGTGCTGAGTGCGTTCAACTCAATGCGCTTATTCGCAAGGTAGTCAAACGAGCCCTTGGCCTCCCTATCACAACTCCAACGTACAAACTCCTCGAGCTTGGCGTACATAACACGTTAGAAGAGATCGCCGAAGCTCAGGAACGCGTGCAATTGACCCGACTGACCACTACCAAGCCGGGCCGCCATACTCTGCGCGCGCTGGGCTTCTTCTCCTCGAGGGCCATGGATCCCCCCAGAGTTGTCTCTAATTCCCCGTGAAATTCGCGACCCTATCACGATCGCTCCCATTCCACGAAATGTACACCCCGAATACAACAGAGGCAGGTGCCTTGCGCGGGCGACCGCCATTCTCAAGCGCATAGACATGGAAGCGGACAACGTCTCCTTCGTGGAGGCGGCTACCTATCGCAACAACAGAACCTTCAGCCGCAGTCGCGGTATCGACGCAGTAGACTCTTAACTCTGCCACAATCCTCACCCGAATCCGCGAAGTAGCGGAGCAAGTAGCTATAGCTATAGCTATGCTTGACAGCAAACGGGAATTCATCTACAGCGACTACAGGCCGGCCATCAAAGCCTTCGAACGCGGAGTCATCTCCGACCAGGCGTTACGTATCCTGCGCTAATGCGGACCTGAGTGCCCTGAAGCACCACGCTGTCATCTGGTTCCCCGTCCATCTCGGCCAGGTGCCAGGTGCCCTATCCAACCTCAACGACATCGCCCATGATGCAGCGCGCGCACTTACCGACCGCACCTGCCACAGCTCAACCCCATCTTGCTGGGTTAGATACCAATTGGGACGCGCCAATTAGTTACAATGAAATATCAAAGCACTTTCACCTGGGACGCCGTATTTTTCCACCCCCCCCCCATCCGAAACTTAACCGACCGCAGGCATTAACCCTACGCCTAATACAGACACACACGCACCCAAACCTTGCCACGCTTCACGTTTATTATCCCGATGCATACCCCAGCGACACATGCCCAGCATGTGGACACACAGCGACACTCGCACACATGCTCTGGGAGTGTAGAACAACTTCTCCGGACTCTACCTCAATCAAGTGGGAGAGGTCCCTCAGGAGCTCACTTCTCACCGACCAGCAATGGGTCGTCCAGCAGGCTCACGAAGCGGACACCAGGTACTTACTCCCTGTCGGTCCCTACGTGGGAGACGCCCGCTACGCGCAAAGCGCGTCCTGCAGTACTGAAATAAAGTTTCTTTTAATCCATTTCATCCAAATCGCACCGCCACCATCAGCTTGACAGGGCCGCCACTCGAAAACATTAGATTGTGGAATTAAGGAACGCCAAAAGGGTCCATACTTTCTCTGATTCTTCTTAATATAACAACGATCTGGCTTCCTGAGAAGCTGTAGAGAATCGAGAACTTTTATCGGATGATGTGACATTGTTTATTAACAGGGGCAGTAACAGTCAAACTGAAAGTACACATCAGCGGGCTATAGATATTATCGAACAATATCTCAAACCGATAGGGTTGAAATGGTCAGCAGAAAAATCGGAGACTCGTTTTGTACAATTACGAAAAAGAGAACAAGCGCCAGGCCTGCGCGGAAGGCGCAGTGCAGTTACAGCGAAAGCTCGAATAGCGACCTTTCAGAGCCTTTTCTAAGCACTCATTGAGTAACGGTTGCAAGTACATTTGCCGAGTACCCACTACGGCATTAATAATAATCTCTGGGTGGTATACCAGCATTCACTATGCTATTTTCGTCATATTTCTGAGAAGAATTGAATCCGCTAAAGGTAGTGGTTGACGACGATGGGGAATATACACCTGAAGTGGGTACGCACCACAGTTATTAGGTGATCAAAGCAAGATTTTGTAATGAGTTCGAGCATGGCACGAACCACTGGTTACGCTATTCTAGTTGTGTGACGCCTGGTTGTTTGTTTGCTTTTATAAAACGCTTTATTACTCATACTACCGCGACTCCTTTCCTGACATCAAGCCTGCCTTAGGAAAATTTGCGAACACCTCCAAAGCACCGGCGTGGCTCAGTGCTAGAATACTGGACTGCTACGCAGCGGACCCTGGTTTTAAGCCTAAGTTGTCCTTGGTGATAGTTTTTTTTTTCTTTTCGGGACAGTGGTTACAAACACCGGAAGCAGCGGCGGTGGAAAACCATGGCGCTGCGAGTCACCAGAGTTTTCATCTCATAACAGCTTTCGCTGTAAAAGAAACAATTCCTCTGGGCCCCGCCGTCGTGGTCTAGTGGCTAAGGTATTTGGCTGCTGACCCTGAAGGTGGCGGGATTGAATCCCGGCTGCGATGGTTGAATTTTTGATTGAGGCGAAAATGATGTAGGCCCGTGTGCTCAGCTTCGGTAGCTCGTTAAAGAACCCCAGGTGGTCGCAATTTCCGAAGCCCTCCACTACGGCGTCTAATATATATTATGGTGGTTTTGGTACGTTAAACCCCACATATCAATCAATCAATAAACAATCCTCCCGGAAGAAGTTGGCAATGCTATTCCAACCGTGGACAGTAGTATAATCCAAGAGCTGCATATACAACAAATAGAAATAGAATGCTGGAACTATTCGGGCACGATGATAGTTATAGCGCGAGAGCAAAACGACGACACAGAGACGAGGAGGACACGGTCGTCGTATTGCTCTCGCGCTACAACTTTCGCCATGCCATACCAACTAGACCAAGCTGCCACACTTCTATGTTATATTCGGGCACGGGGAGCTAGTGCGAACGAGATGCGCCGCGTGCTTATTTTTTAGGAAGAATGCGCTTCAGAAGGAAGCTAGTATTTTGACATTGATTAAAGCTTTTGCAATAAGCCGTGCACTATACGTTGCGCCTTGTCTTGAATTGGGTAGAAGAAACAACGATAAAACTAATGCCATTATAAGAAAAGAGATTGAAACTGTACCAAAGCTTCTCCCGAACACCTTTACGGTAAAACTTCTTGGGCTGTGCTTCTCACACACTTTGCAAGAGCTCATAAAAGCCTCCACGATGTCTCAGCATCAAAGGCTTTTTAAGAGTAGAACCGGAAGGAAAATGAGGGAGCGTTTGTGGTTCGAGCACACGGAAGTGTTGCGGACACTTAGCTAGCATACCTAAATCGACTGGTGCCAGACACCAAAATATTTATTATTCCGTTATTTGATTTGCATTCACAGATACACAAGGACACAGAGAAAAGAGAGAGAGAGCAAGCTGGCAACTGCTACCTGTAGCGGCACAATGCCTGCTCACTCTAGCTGGAGGAGGGAACAAACAGAGGAAACAAAGATAAGAGGCGAGAAAGAGGAAAGAAGAGAAGGAAGTAAAGAAAGAATGACGCAGACTTTGAGTATTAGTAAAGAATAAATAAATTACAAAAACCGTTTTTAACGGGTCGCTCGGTTCGTTTGGTTCCTAAATGTATGAAGAGCTCAGCGGGCCGGGACACGTCGGGAAGCACAACCTCTCGCAAAGAGGTAGTGGTTTAGGGTCGTGCCCTAAAGTCTCACGGAATTTATATTTCTTAAACATCAAGGCCCACTGCGTAGCGATTGTGGGACAGTGCACTACGATATCCTCAAGTGTTTCACAGTTGCCACAACCTGCGCGCAACAGACTGTCCACACGCCCTCCACACTGTAATCGTTCACGCATCAGCACAAAGCCTACTGTTAGTTTGTACAACAGCGCTCTGGAACAACGAGACAAGCTACGGCCAACTGCGCTACCAAAAAAAAACATTCATCCGGTGTTTCACAAAGACAGGCGCAAAGTGAAAAATATAGCGCCGCACGCGAGACTTGAATATCTATCCAGCGTGCTTTCAACGAGGCTGTATAATACAAAACAAGGGGAGCATACACAGCGGTACTGGTTCGTGATAATGAAACCTGGTTTCATGCTGCACCTTTAGCAGCACAATTGCCACTGAGTTGGAATAGCTTGCAATTGCCCTCGCATTGACACAAAAAGGCACACAACTGATTGTTAGTGACACGAAGTCAGCCATTAAGAGCTGAGAACGGGCAGGATTTCTGGCGCAGCTGCTAAAGTTCTGAGACAAGGATCAATACCAGCAGAGCAAACGTCATTGATATGGTCCGCGGCCCATCAAAATCTGAAGAGGAACGAGGGGGCGCACGGAGATCTTCTGAGGGCTCACTTTCCCCACCCGGCTCGAGCAACTCTTTTGAAGACGATGGTCTTTCTTGGGGAGCCTCCACGAAAAACTTTTGGTCTGTCTGTGTGTCTGTACATTTGTCTGCTTTGTTCGCCCTAACGATATCCTCAAACGGCACCCAACGGCCAACCCCAGCCGCAGCGCCCACCAATATTGCTCAAGGTGTAGAGTTCAGTAGCCTGTGCGATTGTGAATTAAAAAAGGCAAATATTGCGCTTTCTGACGTGCCATAAAAACACGTCTATGTTTTGTATGTCTGCCTTTATACTAGAAGACGCACACACAAGTAACTCTAAAGACTGTAGCAGTTTATCGCGCTGCAGCTGACAGTGCAACGCGATGCCCCAGAAGGTGTTTCCAACAGCTGTGCTATGACGAGGACGCTGGTGGCACCTGCCTGTCGCTTTGCACTCTAACACCTTACCACCTCCGAGACTGGCGCGCATCTTTCTCCGCGGTCACGCACGCCTTCGTTTTCGAAGATAACTGCCAGATGGCGTCCCCTGTCTAACGCACCTAGATGCGCTTGATCGCCTCCACTACACGTTCGAGGCACTCTAACGCGGCGCTTTGAGAAAACCATTCACCGATTTTCTTGCGCAGAACATTCAAATAAACGTTTTTTTTCCCTCTCTGCAGACGCAAGACTATCGTCTTTTGACGACATTTATAGTGTAACATGTGGATTCAGGCCAATTTTTTTACAGGAGACGTACTATGGACGTTCCAAAACTGATGTACTATTAGAAATCACCCTGTAAGGATATATCCAGGGTCAGGTAAACAGCTGACCAAAAAAAGAGAAATTTCTGTGCCGAAAATTGCAAACCATGGTGTTTCACAATCCTCACCTGTAATGTAAGCGGTACCCGAAAGTGCTCAACTATAGATGTGCACACTTTATACCACTGTAACAGCCCTTCCCTAATCACCCAATGTAGGGTGGCTAACTGGATGTCTTTCTAGTTATTCTCCCTGCCTTTCTCCTTTTTGTTGCTTCTTCCTTTTCGGAGGTCTTTATACGAAGCCACGACGCCGAAAAACATCAAGCCATTGGTCCTATCCAGACAGCCACCATATTCCAAGGAATTCTGGCTGATGGCTGGGGGTTGAACGGAAGCACAGGCTGAAGCGTCGTCCGGTATCATTTCATACGGTTGCAAATAAATGTTATTTCTCTCTTCTTTTCTGGATGACCATGTACTGTGCGATGTGAGCAGACATCTCTTTGCGTGCCTGATAATCATAACACTTGTTTGGCCCTTCAAAATTCACAATATTTTTATTGGTAATCTATCAGACGGGAACAAAAAAAAACTCCCAAGCCCTTCCCCGAGGGAAGACATAGTTAAGTGCGAATGTACGGGGTGTTGCTATGAGGGGTAGTAAATGTAAAATCCGTTGCCATTCGCCAGTGAGCTAACGTAAATTTCCCCGTGTGATCACATTGCGATTCCCAGGAACCATTGGACTTTCTCGGGAAATCTTAGTGAGTTTACGCGCATATGTGAGAATAAATTCGTACTATAATGATGCTTATGTGTTTTTTTATTCGCAGGATATGTGTATTGTATATGTATTTCATACTATATGTTATATTTATTTATTTCATTATTCAATTCGAAGTATATCTATATATTATGTATTTATGGTTCGCAATATTTATTTATTATTTCACACTATGGTACCTTACGGTCTAATGGTTCCTGTAAATAGCAATGTGATCACACGGGGTAACCATGTTCACCCTCGGGAAACGCTTGGGAGTTTTATTACTGATGATGATGATGTATAAAGTGTAAATAATAAATTTAGGTGTTGTTTGTCATGATGCATTTTTATACGCACACATTTATACACGAACTATTATTTATTTACCCTTCGCAAATTCGTACAATGTATTAAATGCACACATCACGAGTGCGTCACACTACCGTTGTTCCCGATTACAAATAATTGGCAAAGATAATTGGCACGTTCGCTTGAGTGATTTCCGTGCTTATACATCGTGCTTGCCCAATATTCATAGGAAACTGTGGCAGAACTTCTCTCCTGTTGTCTTCATTTGCTGAATATTTTTGACCCTTCCAAATGCTCGCGAGCCGAGCTTTTTGGTAATGGAAAATCTATCGAAGGTCACCGAACCTAATACTTCGTCGCGCAAATTGCAGGTAGTAAGGTGGTCGTTATTTTGGCTATTGTGCCCGTTTATTGTCCTGCCACGCGAAAATTTTAGCCATAAGTGCAGTCGAAGCTTTCGGGCTACCTCGATGGTCACGGTTGGCAACAGTTTTTTCTAAAACCTGGACTTGGTTTCAAACTCGTGGGGTTGTCTGTTACGTGAAACTAGAATCACCTCCGCCAGTTGTGTATGTTGTGACTGTGTACAACACACCCAAGAGGTGAGGTGTAGAGTCAACCTCATATTAAGTGAATATACGTCCTGCCACACCAACACTCGCCTTGCCCTGGTGGTAGCCTTGCTGCAGGTTGTCACAACAGAGTATATATATATATATATATATATATATATATATATATATATATATATATATATATATATATATATATATATATATATATAATATATATATATGTATATATATATATATATGTATATATATATATATATATATATATATATATGTTTAAAATAGGGGAAAGAAGTGTATACCTAAGGACTCGTTTTTCCGTGTTTTAACACAATATTAATGAGATCTAACAGACAGTAATGCCAAGTAATGTACAGGGGAATTTATTAGAACCAATGGAATGTAAATAAGAAGAAAGAAAAGTGGATGAAAAAATAATGGCTGGTTATTTTTTCATCCACTTTTCTTTCTTCTTATTTACATATATAAAAATACATATATATATATATATATATATATATATATATATATATATATATATATATATATATATACAAACATACATACATACATACATATATTTCAAGCATCTACTATTTATTGGTGAGTCACAGAACACTGTAGTGCCGTTTGTGGAGCTGATTGCACCTGTATATGCACAAACACGTATGTTCACGTCGTGTAAGCAAGCTTCTTAGATGAAAACAAACGATTTATGTTTTGGTAAAAACAGGCCAGGCCCGAGGCCCTCGCCGATCAATGACACATTAACAGTTGTAGCCTATGTAGCCAAATCATAAATCATAACGAAAAAATCTAACGAAGAGTACATATTAACAGTTTAGTAGCGCAGATGGCGATTTTGGTGTACCGTGATAGCTTAGCAACTATAAGGTGTTTCGCTGCTAGGTTGGAGAAAGAGAGTTAATTTCAAAAGAAGTGGGTGAATTTCAATAGGGCGAAATGCACGACCCTCTTTGTGTTGCCAATTATGTGTGCGCAGAAAATTCGAGGCGGTGGTAAGTTTTTCGTAGTCTAACTCTGCAGGTCTGCTTAACGCCCTTGGATACCTGGCCCTTAAAATGCCGTAATTTATTATTACCACTATTTTTACAAAATAAAATGATTGTCAGCCAGAAAATATACAATATACAGAATACAAATGTACTGAGGAAGAGGCATGGCACTATAGTGTATGCCTATGATTTCTGTAATTATATGCTCAAACTGAAGGAACCCATGGCACCCACTTGGTCATGTGCAAGTTCGCCACCAAACTGTAGTGAGATATCTCCATTGCTTTGGCGTGACCGGTTGTTCCGGACGAGTAAAATAGAGCAATCGTGGTCTCCTTCGGGTGGTCCATGTGCACCTCTTCGAAATCGTCGTCGCTCAGTTCAGCGAAACAGGACACTGACACAAAGCCAGGGTGAGAGTCGCCAATAAGAAACAGGCCCTGCGGTATGCAACGAACACTTCGGTAACAGATCAACAACGCACTCGTAAATGGTGTCAAAGGCTTTCTATATACAACAGCACGTGAAGAAACAGATGTAAGAACGCGTATGTTTTTACTAAAAAAAAAGAAACTCCCTTGGTCTCTTATTTTCCTGAGTGATGCGATACTCGTGTTACTTTTACAAATCAACGCCAAAATACTTGCCGGCCAAATCTGTAAGCTTGCCACACCTTGAGCGCACAAGAACTTCTGGCCGAAACCTACGCGGCAGCCGAGTCCACAAGCACGCGGGATACTGTGTCTGCCTTTATTTATCTTTGCCTTTATAAGATTTTAAATCTGTCGAACGAGGTTGTGCACTGACTCCACAATTGCAAGCAGTGAAAGTTTTTCGAACTTTTCGTGTAATGTTTTGAATGTCAATTTAAGTGACCTCTGAGTGGCATGTTATTGCACAGGAAGAAAAATTTGCCCTAGTTCACGATAGTTTGAGTCTGAAGCGTTTAGTTGTCACTGGAGTTCAAAGAACCAAGTCGAGCGCTCGTACTGCTGTTAGCTTCATCGAACCTTTTCCTCATCTGTTCAGCTCTGTGAGCAGTTCAAAAACTACGTGACAATTTTCGCGTATGACAAAGCATCTAAACCTTTCGCCATAAAGAAACCGAATAAAGAAGAAATGAAATACGACACGCACAGATACGGTACTCTATCTGTGTGTCTTTCATTGTGTTCCCTTTTTGATGCGGCGTTTTTTCCCCTTCGTACCAACGCCCTGGTGGTGTGTTAAGGGCGTTCGACTCCGGATCCGAAGGTCGCAGGAACGAAACGACCGCAATACCCACGTAGCTGGACAGCAATGTGCTTCAATTTAGGGCAGATGGGAAAAATTCGACCTTGTTGATCACATTGTGATTCCCAGGAACCATTGGGCTCTCTCGGGAAATAGCTAGCACAAAGTGACACAATAACGAGAAGGTAGTACACAACAGGTGCGCTAATTTTGAAGCGATAGTGTTAAAAAGCTCGTTTCGCAGAAATTCCTGCGTCGTTATTGTTAGTTGTTAGCGAAACGCATTATATTCGGGTGACCAACAAATCGAGAAAGATGCCAATAAAATAAATACAAATTCTGGTCTTTGTTGGGTTCAAAACCAGGTCGTTTGTGTTGCAAGCGGGTGCTCAATCACACAGCCGCACCTCTGTTTGTGAATACAGTGAAAATAACTTTCTCTGCTCAGAAATGCAGGCATAGTAACTTTTATGATGTACCAAATTTACCAAACAAACGCGTCCTGTATACATGCTTCACAATACAACATGAAACATAGCCGCATTAATTCGCCGTTGAAGCGGTACATTGTCATCGGGCGTCAGACGTTTGTTTGTTTGTTTGTTTGTTTGTTTCTTTGAAGCCTGGAATCCAAGACACATAACCGCTCTGGGGGATCGGCCTAGAAAATATGAAGTATACTATAGACAGTAACTCCACTGTAGGCTCCCCAAAAAAGAAGCAAAAGAAGGAGGCATTAATGCCAACATCTTCTTATATATCATATCAATAAAAAGGAGGCATTATAAGAAACGAAGATCCAAAGAGTGACAAATTGAAAAAATGAAGAAAATATTCACTAATATAATAACTATACCTTTAACTTGGAAGCCAACCAGACAACTAAGTTTGCCAAACTTGATTATTGGTGATGTATGCCTCATATTTATTCACAATTTAAAAGTCACTTCCCGACTCCTAATTTTGAGTATTCTTTTAAAATGGGCATTTTATTGAAATAAGTTTAGTGGCTTTAACGTTGGGATTATGATACAGAACTCATTGTTTCAGCCAGTCATACAGTACAAAAGGCGCACAAGCTACTGAACGCTTAAAACCACGTAGTGCGTGCATAGCCAGTTCGAAAAGATTTAATACCTTAAGTGTTTGAATCGTGCTAGGAATAGAATATCCTAATTACGTCCAACTTTTAAAGGCCTAACTTAGGCGTCTCCCAATTTTTTCGATAAAGAATGACGTAACCATATTCTTGAAAGATAGCGGAAGTTTTGTGCCCTCCCATTTCAAGCGTAAATAATACGTTAGGGTCAGGGACACTTCAAACAACAGTTGGTTTACATTTGCGGAGGGCTTGACTACGATGCCACTAAAAATAATCCTGAGGTAAAAAAGAACGAGTAATGTCACTCAAACTAAAGGAATCTCACGTGACTTACCGCCACTTTAGCAACAGCTACAACAGCCTCTGATTACCTGGGTTGTCATTCTCAGTGAGACCACCAGACTTCACTCCGGTTCTCGAAACCGAGCTCTTGGCTAATATTTTGGCGCTCCGAAAACTGCCTTAAAACGAAGATAGTGCAATCATCAGTACAGATTCTCTTTCAGTGTGTACTGCTCTAACATCTTCAGAACAACCAAGATCCCTAGTGACATTGCACACATTATTTCCACCCTAACTGAAGCTCCTGAAGTAAGTATGGGTCCCAGGCTACTGTGGCATACAGTTGAATGAAATGGCTGGTTTATTAGCATGAACTTCGCTTGATGGTCCTATGATCTTGGTACTCTCTAGAAATAGAACACTTAGTGTCGATCTGGTATACAATATTAGCTATTTATACGGATATGATGGAAAATATTCCAGAATAGATGAGCTATCAGCACGAGATATCCCTGGAAACCTCATACGAGTCAATGTAGGAAGTTAGCAGTTTTTTTAACCACATTTTAATGCTGTCTCCCTCCAACAACTTTTATTTACACAGAGCTTGTCTGGCAATATCTCCAATGCGCCCATTGTACGACGAAACGCAAACAATAGGGCATTACTTTATATCAAGAAGAAACTATTCATCAGTTTGGAAAAGACTTCATTTGTCCCGTTTTTCGTAGAAGGCTTAAACTTAACTGCAGATCACGTTCCCAGTTTTGGCACCTCTGGCTTGCGACATGGCCACAAAAACGGATTTACGCCATATGTGATTTTCTTCAAGAATCTAAGCGGATGTCAATATAATCCCAACCTAAATATATTCTTGACAAATATTTGTGACAGATGCATGATTGACAATCATGCATCTGTTGAATTGTGTTTTGCCTCCTCCTTATGTAATACCCCGCAACGGGCCTTTAAGGGTTCAATAAATGATGATGATATAATAATTGATATTGTGAATGAACGTCGCATATTCATTCGATTTTGACCTGGTGATAGAAACACAACTGTCTGGTCTACTTAAAATTTCGGGCTTCTAATATAGTATTAGCTCTCTTTTTCTCTTATTAGTTCGTCTTGATGTTAATATTATTACGTATTGTTTTAATAGTTTTGTTTATTTAGCAATAGGCTCTCAATCAGTGTGTCACATAGAGGCTACTGCAAAGCTTTTGTTGATTGATTGATTGATATATTGATTGATTGATTGATTGATATGTGGTGTTTAACGTCCCAAAACTACTATATGATTATGAGAGACGCCGTAGTGAAGGGCTCCGGAAATTTAGACCACCTGGGGTTCTTTAACGTGCACCCAAATCTGAGCACACGGGCCTACAACATTTCCGCCTCCATCGGAAATGCAGCCGCCACAGCCGGGATTTGAACCCGCGCCCTGCGGGTCAGCAGCCGAGTACCTTAGCCACTAGACCACCGTGGCGGGGCTGCAAGCTTTCGTGGCCAATTCCCCAGAGTGCGTATGGGCCACTACTTACAGGCAAGAAACAAACAAACAAACAAAGAAAGAAACAAACAAACAAGCCATTACCGAAAATACACCAACTCTGCACTCGTATGCCTGCTTTTTTCGCGCAACATTTAGGCGGAAGAGCTCGGTACCAGAACGTAACTAAGCTGCGGACGCCATCTGCCTTTGCATTGTTGAGAAAATGACGAGCCGCCATGCCCATGGCGAAGCCCACCCGATGCCCTCTTCTTTATTTCGAATGCTGGTCAAATCCACCAATGATGATAACGTCGATCCTCGTCTTCTACAAAATTTGTAGCATCCTCTGCGCCCCCACAGTGGTGCCTGACGACAAACTGAACGCTCACAAGTTTTCCCGAGTACAAAATGTTTGTCCGTATTAGTAAGACTTCCACGTCAGTCCTAGTAGTGTCATCCGGGTAGTCTCCTGCACTTGATTTTCCAGCGGTGGTTTCGGTGCTTGTGCCACATTCGTGCTATTCAGTGCGTTGACACCAATGTAACTCTGTTGACGCTGAGCAGGTTTCCTTCATAGGTAAACTCCCATTGAAGGCGCTTCCAGAAAAATATTTTGCAGCGCTTTCTCCGGCAACTTTTTCTTGGCTTTCTTTTCCTGGCTCCATTTATCTTGCATTTACGTTGCCTCCACCCTCGTCTCATGCTTTCCCTTCAACGTTGTGACACTGTCTCGGCAGTTCGCCGCTTCGCGGCAATCGGCAGTGCCGTACATATTCTCTTGGTTCTAACAACAATTTAGCGAAATGACTCGTCGCCCAGACGTGAAAGAAATACGTCCGTTTATTGCTAATTCTAGTGGTGAAGTGCCCCGACCACGTGCGCGTGCCCCGGTTTACCCTCTGCTTTCTCTTCTTCAATAGAGTGCGGCACGCTTCAACTTACTGCGTTACTATTTTGCATCATTCTCCGGGCCGTAAGTTGAATCACCCGCGTCGAAGGTGAAACTTTCATGGTAGCAATATAGCCTGACAAAGATAGGTGGGCGGTTCGCTGGCATGTTTTTTGCTGGCCAACTACAAGGTGTTGGCGATGACGAACCTTGCGTGGCGACACATTTTCTTTCATAAGCCTCAAGGCCGAGGTAGCGTGTCGTAGCGAGATGTTTCGGTCTGTCGAAAAGCAATGAGACAGTGCGAAGTGCTTGAGCTTGTCGGGATTGCTGTTCCGACATATTCGTGATGTAATGCCTAACTGAGTGGTGTTAGCGGGACGATTTGTACGGTTTGCCGATGATTCTAGTGTTGACCCAGGCTTATAAGCCT